TCTGATCTGAATGAAGATTGCCTGGACCACACTGAAACAGGCCCAAGCTGGCTCTGGACAGGAAGAAGGAATATAGAGACCTTCATTGGCCGGCCAGATCAGCAGCCAGACACTTACCCTCATCAAATGGTTGCCTGGGGAACTTCAGGAGACAAGGCTGCTCCACGGGGCCAGGTGTCTGCATCATACATTTCCCCAGCTATCTTGGCATGTCCCCCAAGCCAGGGGTGGCCCCTGGAAACTGAGCTGGCCTAACCCAGGGCTGGGTAGGAGATGGTCACCATTCCCCTCCCCGGGGTGAAAGCCATAGGGACCAAGCTTGACACGGCTGCCCTTTCTAGACAAGCGTTTGGAGGCTGAGCAGTGTGAACAGGGACTTCGCCACCTGCCCAACTTACCCATCAGCCATCATTGTGCCAGCCGTAGTGGATGATGAAGCCTTGAGGAAGATCGCCCGCTTCCGCCAGGGGGGCCGGTTCCCCATCCTCAGCTACTATCACAAGAAGAACCAGACTGTGAGTGCCATCCCCTTCCCGCTCCAGCTCCCTTCCTGGCACCACAGCCGCACCCAGGCAGGGAACCTCTCAGCCCAGCAGCTAGGGCACTACATTTATGTGGGAGCCTCTCTGGAGACCCCAAACCACCTTGCAGCCAAAATGATCCATCAGGAGGGATCAAAATGCAGCCACTTCTGGGGTGGCACAGTTGTTATGCAGCTGTCTGTGACAGTACAAGTCAGTCTACAAAACAGCAAAGAACGCCACCCCCCCAGCAGACGGCCAAGGAGGCAGAGTCGAACTACAAGATCCCACCCAGCACCAACCACCCTGACCCTGTAGACCCTTGAGGGGGGAAGGGGAGGGTGTCTCCCATTCAGCCACCAAACAGGCCAGCCCTTGCTTAGCTTGGAATAAGGCAAGTAGGACTTTTGCTAGACACGGCAGTGACAAGCAGATTAGACTGGGGTGGCTCCCTGTCTCTCATTAGGCTGGCACAGGGAAGGGGCTGGCTCAGCTCAGCTGCCGCAGCATCTCTGCCCCACAGGTGATGCTCCGTAGCAGCCAGCCACTGATGGGCCCCAACAAAAAGCGGTGCCAGGAGGATGAGCTGCTGCTCAAAGCTGCACTGTGTGGGAGGACACGTGGCTTTGTCATCGACACCCGGTCAGCCCAGGCTGCCAAGCAGGCCCGCATGACGGGAGGTGGCTCTGAGCCCAAAGCTGCCTATCTCGGCTGGAAGAGGCTGCACAGGCCACTGGAGAGGTCAGTACTTGATCCCGTGCAGCACCTAGCACTGAGGTTGTGGGAAAATCCACCTCCCACCCTGTGCACGTGGATCTCTGGGCTGGGCTACGGGAAGGAATGGCACTAGCATTCATTAGCCCCTGCCTCATGGCATGTGGCTGGGCAGAGCCCTGGCCTGCTCGTTTCATGGCTGACTAATGATCTGGCTATGCTGACTCTACCACCCCCGGGGACCAGGGGTGGAGGCTCCTTCCTTCCCTTGGCTGGCGCAGACTCCAGGCAGGAGCCCAGAAAACATCACCCCACTCTGAGCCAGGACCTGCAGCTTCTCTCCTGCCCTCCCCCAAGCAGGGGCCGCCCACTGCAAGAGAGCTTCATGAAGCTGGTGGAAGCCTGCAATGACCCGTCCCTCGGCATGGACCGCTGGCTGAGCAAGCTGGAGAGCTCCAAGTGGCTGTCCCACATCAAGGCAGCATTGAGCACTGCCTGCCTGGCCGCACAGTGCATGGAGAGGTGAGATGTATGGGGGCAAGGAGGGGCAAAGCCGAGACTGCTGTGCTGGGAGCCCCACTTCCCTCTGTAGGTAGCAGCCTGGCTTTCCCCTTGCAGAGATCCTGGCTGAGCAGGAGTCAGCCTGGGTCACTGAGCGGGTCAGGGCTTGGTCCCCAGGGACAGGACAGGGCAGGCAAGGGCTGCTTTCGTGCTCCACACGGGCCCAGATTGCCTGTGCAGCTGTGGCAGAGGCAGCCCCGCCAGGCAGACACAGGCTTCCCCGCCACCAGCCCTGTTCTGCTGCTTCCTCCCTCCCTGGCATGAGCTTGCCCCTCTGGTGGGCAGCGCCCACGTTTGTCACCCACCCCGTTCCCTTTGCTTTCAGGGAAGAGGCCTGCATCCTGGTGCACGGAGCCGAGGGCACAGACACCACCCTGCTGGTGACGGCACTGGCTCAAGTGATCCTGGACCCAGACTGCAGGACGCTGGTGGGATTTCAGCACCTGCTGGAGCGGGAGTGGATCCAGGTAACCCAGCTCCTCAGCCAGGGGCCAGTACTTGAAGGGGAGGGGAGGTGACACTGTCCCAGAGCAGCCTGGCTGTGGGGAAGGAGGGTGGCATCTCACCCCTGGGACTGCAGGGCAACCCACGAGACCTGCCCCACCCCAGTCCTGATCCCCCAAGGCCCCCGCTGTCCTGGGAACGACGAGGCAGCCCATGTCTGGTGCTCTCCAGCTGATGGGGCCCCTGCTCCCCGTTGGATAGGCAGGTCATCCGTTTCACCTGCGCTGCGCCCACTCCGCGTACTCGCACGCCCGGCTCAAGCAGGAAGCCCCCGTCTTCCTCCTCTTCCTGGACTGTGTGGGGCAGCTGGGGCGCCAGTTCCCCTTCTCCCTGGAGTTCAGCGAGTGCCTCCTGCTGGCGCTGTTTGAGAACAGCTACGCCTCCGCCTATGGGACCTTCCTGTGCAACAGCGAGAAGGAAAGGCAAGTGCCAAGTGCAGCCCCCACCCTGGCAAGGACCTGGGCAGTGGGGATGAGGATGGCATTCTCTACCCAAAGTCCCAGAAGGGGTGGACTTGCTGCCAGCCTAGAGCATCAGCATATGCACTGCGGGGTAGCAGGGATGTCCCCCAGGCCCCTTGACCTCTTCATCCCACCAGGGCCTGCTAGTTATCTGATCTCCACTGCTGAGGCCAGCTGGACCCAGCTGAAGGATCACCTGGGAGTGAAGGCACAAACTGGGTGCTCCAGTGATACATAACCGCACCCTCGTGTCTCCTGCTCTCACTGCCCACGGCAGAGGCTGCCAGGCCACTAGGGAGGCAGGGCCTGGGCTTTCACACCTGGCTGGTTCCTCAATCCCTTAGATGTGCCAAAGTGGCCTGGGTTAGGGAAGCCGAGCCTCAGGATGGAAGGGATCTAACACAGCACATGCCCATTGGTTGGCACAAAGCAAGTATGTCTCAATGGAAACAGCCGAGAGGTGCACCCAAGGGCAGGGATGTTCCTACCCCCACATCCCCTTTCCCTGTGGACACAAAGCCACTTGTCCCCCTGTCAGGCAGCAGCTGGTGGGTGACACCTCCTGGGCAAAACAACTGCCAGTTTCTTACCTACATGAAGGGACTTGAGATCTCAACTGACAGTCCCAGCATATAGCCACATGCCCAAGTCACCAACAGGGTTTTGCGCTAAATCAGGCAGCCCCTAGTCAACCTCCAGGGCCCTTCACTGCACACACTTGCAGGTGCCTGTGTAAAGTGAGGGAGACGACGCACTCGCTCTGGTCCTGGCTGAACCAGCCCAACCAGCAGAAGAAATACCTGAACCCCCTGTACTCGTACAACGCCCTGGTCATCTGGCCGTCCGTGGAACCCCAGAGCCTGCAGCTCTGGCACGGTAAGTGCTCTGTAGGCTCCCTCCCCACCACCACACACACCCTGCAAGGGCTTTGCCTTCAGTAGCTAAGAACTCCTGACTGCCCTGCAGTAAATGCTGACTGCTTGCGTCTGCAGGCTTGTTCCTCCGGTGGATCCGCTCCTCCCAGTACCTGGATGAGGCCTGGACAGAAATCCAGCGACTGGTGGAAGGCAGCGAAATGCCACCGAGGACCAATGGTGCTGCTCATTCCCAGCAGCTGCTCCCCCACTGATCTTACCACAACAGAGGGGAGGTTGCTCCAGGACAGCTGATGGCTCAGGCACTGCCAGGCCCCGAATCCATCATTTCATCCTCCTCCAGGGGGGAAAAACAAACTGCTGCTTTTCACCTGGAGCTTTGTGCTGGTCACAGGCTCTGTTGGAGCTGAGGGAAGCCTCGACTGCGAAGCCAGGCTCCGAACTGAGTCTGCCTGGCACAGAGGCCAGTGGGTTACCTCGAGGTGTTACAGCCAAAGCACAGACAGTAAAATGGACTGTTCTCACACGGTCTCCTCCTGCTTTCAGTGCCTGGGAGCAGTGGGCTGCTCCTCGGGGAGATGGCTCCATTCTGCCCATATATGCCCTCCTTCTACTCTAGGATAGCCAGAACCTCACTGGCACCAGGCCAGAGGCTTAGACTTGGACTTTGACAGCAGGGTTGGGGGTACCAGGAAGATCAGTTTGTCCAGCAATCCCATTCAATGGTTTCTCCCACAGGGTGGCTGGGCTAGAGGTTTTGCCTGCGTCTCCCCAGCACTGTTACCGCAAAGCAGCCAGAAGAGTCAAACGCTAGATCCATTCTCCTCAATCCCCTCCAGTCTACACCTCACAGCCCAAGTGGCAATATTCACCTGAGCTGCAGTCAGCAAGACACTGATACCTAGAACCAGGCTCAAGCAGAGGGCAGAGAAGCACCAAGTGCCCCTCACTCTACATACAGGCTGGACAGGGATGCAGGGGAGAGGAAGGGCTTGCAACAAACCTTTCCCAGGGCAGGAAATAACTGTTCCCTGAGGAAAAAGTTGGCTCAGTCCCATGCCTGGCTCACAGACAAAGCGATCAACATTGCATGCATGTCAGCAGGAAGGAGAGAGCGGCCAGTCATTGTTTTCCAGCCTATTTATGGCCTAAGCAATTCTGACCATTTGCCTGGCGTTAAACTAGCAGAACTAGACCACAGTCAGGGAAGACAGTCCAAGGGTCCCAGCTCCTCCTAGGCTAGGAAGGCTCAGAATCACCAGTGTATGGGAGCAAGTCACCCAGCATAGCTGGAAAAGGAGAGGCTACCAGGCTGGGTTTTTCCCAAACCACCAGCAGAACCACGATGCACTGGTCTCAGTTTATGAAAGATTTATATTTATTATTTCCTTTGGAGTTTATTTTCCCACCGATTTATAAATATCCCCAAGGAAGGCAGGAAGTTAGTGGCCTGCAGAGCAGATGAGTGGACCGATCCCTACTGGCCACATGCCGTCAAGGCTACCTCCACGAAGCATCATTCCCATGCCCATCACAGCTTACCCATGACCTCAGCACCCACTGCTTCCCATGGGAGCTGACTAACCTGGGCCCTGCCACAGCTGCATAAGAGGAGATGGGGACTGGGGGATGACAAACCATTCAAAAGGGAAGGGGGGAATGAAGGAAGAAGCAGGGACTGTGCTTCAAACTTCAAACTCAAATTCGAAGTACTGGGGGTCGAAGTAGTGGATGCGGACGTAGCCATCTTCACCGCCGCTGCTGTAACTGCAGGGGAGTAACAAGGAGAGGTCAAAACTCCGAGGTCCCTTTCAGGTCACACCACCCTCAAATCCAGTCTCCCTGTCAGCACCCCAAAGACACCACTGTCTACATGCATGCACAGAGCAGCAGTTTAAGGTATGATCCTAGTTGGCTGGTCTCATCTTTTCCAGTTGCCCTGGTGCAGACAGACTCTAGGATACAACACTGACACCCGGTCATATCTATATTAAGAGTCACTGCAGATACAAAAGCAAGGCTGGCTCTGCCCTGCTGCACAGGGATGGGGGCAAGGGGTTGCGGCTTTCTCAGTGTTCCAGGATGAGCCGTGGGTTTACGATACTGCAGTGCAAGGAGATCATGACACGGCCAAGCAGGTCAACACTGGGGTGTGCTGGCAAGGAGGGGGTGGAATGTAGCCCATTAAAGCCTGAGTCCAGCCTGAATAGGCAGCAGTGACTTTGAACCCCACAGCAAAATCCTCACCTCTTTCCATCAGGGTGGAAGGCAACACTGTTTATTGGACCAAAGTGGCCTTTGATTCTCCCAAACTCCTCTTCAACACCCAAGTGGAAGAATCTAGGAACAAGGAAGAGGCTCTGGGTCAGCAGCTTGGAGCCCCAGTCAGGCATGGAGAAGGTTGTCCGAGGGCATGCCGTACTCCATGACCAACTCTTTGTGCTCCTTCAGAAGGTAGGCAGTAGCACTTGCCATCTACCCTCCATGCCCCCGTCTGCCTTGGCATTGAAGGAACAAAAGGAACTAACCTTGCCTCAAACTTGCCAATCCTAGTAGAGGTCGTGGTCACGTCCATGGCTTCCTGTCCACCACCCAGGACAACCTGCGAGAGGGAAAAAGCAGCCAACATACTTAGATGCTGCTTCAAGATCACTCCTGGCAGGTACCAGGCTCCATGTACTCAGCAGAGCAACTGAAGCAGAGACCCATGAGATGCCTGCTCCCGTTAGGTTGATCTCCATGGCAAGAGCTCCATGACAGCTGCTGTGCACCTCTTACCTTTCAGCCACACTCGCTTGAGAACCATTTACCAAGCCCAAAACAGAAGGCCTAGAACTCATCCCTGTAGGGCTTTCACAGACTTCCCAGCCTGTGCTCACGCTGCGCTGGTTACTCCAGCAACATTCCCCTCCCCCGGCAGAGGAATGGCAGGAAGAAACACTCCAAATACCAACTCCTCTCCAGCCATTCCCATCTGCCAGTGCTGCAGTTGCACAGATGCTTAGACTGGCAGCAGCTAAAAATAACTCTGAGAGCCAGCCAGGGTGCCCACACTCCTCTTCTCTGACACACCAAGATGGCAGGAGGTTCCAGCCTCCTGGGTTTCTGCTGCAGGTTTCAGCCTAAGTAAATCCCTCTTCTTCCCTCCGTCACCTCTGCTGGAAGCTACAGCAGAAGAAACAGTTTGAATTCAGCCATGTCTCTCTCCACATCTCCCTCCCATCCCCACTGAGGCAGGCTGAAGAAGTTTCTTATGAACCAGCAATCAGCCTTTCCTGAGCTAGCGCAGCATCTCAGGCTCCAGTGCCAGGACTCACCATGGGGCAGCAAAGAAGCTTGGAGATCCAACACCAAAGGCACCATTGATTAAAGTTCAGGGATAGAAGAGGAGCCACCAGCAAGCCCTGCATGCGGGGGTGGGGGTATAGGGGTATAGAAGGGACATGAATATCTTGAAGGGAATAACCCTGCACTGCCCCTGAAAGATGGAGGAAATTATGCCATTATCAGAGTGTGATGCAAGACACCGATGGACTGAATGTTCTTTAGAACAGGATCTGACAGTGGGCCGAGTCCCCATCTCGCCACCCTCAGTCTTTCTTTTCTTGCCACAATGCCAGGGCCTGGCAAAAGGACAGGAATCTACGATGCAGCAGCTCCAAGGCAAACACTTACATGGTCAAAAATGGGTGAGAGCGCTGCAGAGTTCACGGGCCGCTCCGTCCGGAACGTCTTCAGGTGATCGAGTGTCGTGGAGTCGAAGAGCTAAGAGGTAAGAGGTGCAGAGGTGACCCTGGGAACGAGCTGGGAGAAACGGCAGCCAACACTACCAGCCTGTCCCCAAGGTAATACCTTGGGAAGGCCTCACTCCCCCAACAGCCTGAACAGCAGCCTCCACCCCTGGACAGGGCTCATTAGTGCCACAGGTCCAGAACAGTCTGTGGTAAGGCTCCCGATTCAAAGGTTAAGTCCCAAAAAGATCTGCACATGTTCCAAGAAGAGCAGCACACAGTGCCCCTCTCCACCTCAACTCTGAAACCACAGCATGATTGCCTCTGCCTGTCCATCTAGCCCAGGCAGCCCTCTCCTTACAGGGCTGTTCCCACTAAGCAGACATTTGCTTTGGTGTAAGAGAAGCTTGGGTCCACAGTTACCCACAAGGTTCTAGGGAGAAGCCTCAAACAGTGGAAGGGGAAAAGAAGCCAAAACAGCCATTTCCCTCAGCATCCTAGAGCCACTGGGTGGGTCAAGAGAGGTCTCACCTTGGCTGTGTTGTCCTTGGAGGCAGTGATAAACATGGTCATGTCCCGAGAAGTCTGGATGTCGTTGATCTGCTTGGTGTGCTCTTTGACATTCGTGAGCTGCTCCCCTGACTGAGACCAGACAAGCAGCAAAATTAATGATCACCCTCCACCAGCACCACAGAGCCCCAGGTGCACACACCTTCCCCAGCCATCATACTCCAGTGCCCCTTGCCCATACCTGTACCACAGCTCACAAAAGTCCAGCTCATATGCTGTGGGATGCCCACCATATAGCCCTCTTCCCTGCCCGCAGGCAATCCTGCTCTGCATCACACTTACCTTGGCACTAAACTGGTTCAACTCTCCATTCTCATGCCCTGCGATGATGAATTCCCCCAGAGGGCCCCACACAGCACTGGTGATTTTTGACTCGCTGCATGGGATTTTCATGTAAGGCTCATCGTTCTCTGAGGAAGGAAGGAGTGGCTCAGGCACAACACTGCCAACTGAATTGCTGACAGAAGGTGCCATCAGAGCCTCCCCACCCCCACGAAGGCATCTGCCCAGGCTCCGTACCAATCTGACTGGAGTCCCGCAGGTCAAAGAAGCTCACAAAGCACTGATACCCCATCTGCTTGTCCGTGGAGAACATGATGATGTTTCCTCCAAAATCAAACCCGCACGTTCTCACAGCAGAGCTGGTCTTCACTAAGGCAAGCTGTTTTCCTAGACACAGGGCAGAGTCTCAGTGGACAGCTCCAGACCACCACATTGTGAGTTTCACACCATCAATTTCACCGTTCACCAAGCAAAGACAAGAAACTAGAACAGGGTGTGGTCAGCAGCTTTAACTACCTGTAAGTCTTTTAATGCAAGTTCCAGTCTATTCTCACTGCTCAAGTCCCCACTGATTAGTGAGCTAGCACAGCAAGTGATGTTTTGGGCTCTGAAGAGGGTCTCGCAGCAGTCTCCCAAGTTGGTAAACAAGCACCTTCATGCTTCACTACAGGTCAGAGAAGCATGCTCTTTCAGTGGGCCTCCGCCCAAATGCTTTTACTCAAAAGGATGACACCATTTCAGCTACTGAAATATCATTCATGAAATCCGGGGTGCATACAAGTAAGAACTCCTTTTAAGTTGCTGGATGAATTATGCACTCACAAAGCAAGGACCAACCATTCTGGTCAGAGACAAGGTGAGTGCGTCTGTGCAAGTTTCCCCACCACAAGCATCACCTCAGCACCAATTCCAGGCTGAAGACATCAAATCAGATCAGTTTGGATAGTGAAGAGGGCAAAAATATTTCTTAGCAGGCAGGAATCAGAACACGAGCACACCCTTCCATGAGTGGCCTAAGGTAAATTTAAATGTGCCTTTGCTGAAGTGAGAAGCCAACACATCACCCTGCTACTCCCCAGCTCACAGACTCACCTGTGCTCTAATGAAAGGCTTGAAAGATCCTCTCCCCCAGTAGCTTGTCTTACCTGTTTCACAGTCCCAGAGCCGGCAGGAGTTGTCTGCAGAGCCTGTAAGCACATGCCTCGTGTCCCCTGAACCACTACTTAAGGAATGTCAACAAAGTCTTAGTGCCCATCACCTCAAAGGAGCCAATGTTCACATACTAGAGTAGGACACAGACACACTTACAGAGGACATGTAACACTTTCAGTGCACACATCAGGAATGCGACAGATGTGTGTTAAGTAACTTTCATTCCACGATGCTGCGGCCAAATATTCATGCCATGCGAACCAGACTCTTCTTGCATTCAGACAAGCTTTTGCTTTGCATTTATCAACTACCGTCTGCAGTGGCAAGAGAAGATCACTTTGCAATGATCTTCCAGGAACCCCAGTTTCACCACCAACCTGAGTATGTCATATCAGCCTGCAGTGGTGAAGGATAAGTGTGGCTGGGGCACAATGGCACACAGACCATTTCCCATTTCAAAAGGGGGGAAAATACAGCAGAGAGTAAAGAAAAGAGTCCGATACTAGTTTGGACAAAGATCACTTGTATTGTAGCCACCCCCGATCCTACTGATTGCACTGGAGAAGAACCTGAAGACGACAGATAGACAGGCTGTGGGAACCAAAGGATACAGTCTGCATCCACACACCAGACAGCTCCTGTGTGACCATTGTAAGTGCCAAGCCTCTCTCCGTTGACCGAGTACCAAACATTGACAATCTGGAGGAACAACAGAAGGAAACTGAGCATCCGCTTTACCTGCTGTTGCTGGGTACACAAATGCCACTTAGCGTCAAATGTGAAACTGCACAGAGGATCTCAAGGCTTGCACCGCAGCGCACACACAAATGCAAGAGGCAGGTTATTGCAGTCCAAACAGGCAGCAGCGCTGGGAGGAAATGAGGAACGGGGGACATAGATGCAAGATGCCGAGTTACAAAGACAACAAGCGCACAAGAAACTTGTTGCATTCCTTGTGCTAATGAGATGCCAAAGTCCCTACAGAATCCGGCGGCTG